TTTTAATTTTATGATTTTATTTATCATGAGGCCAGCAACATGTACCTGTTATAAAAGGATTTTCTTCCATTCTCTAGAGGTTTGAGCGCCTGTTATTGTCAAACAACATAATTCTTCAGGTGCCCATGTGAAAGACAGTGCAAATATGTCAATAGGCCCATGGAAGCAAAGACCTTGAAGACAGACTTGATAGTTCCCATGGCAACATCTAGTAAAAAAATAATAATGTTAAACAGATGTTTAATTGTAAAAGAAAAACAGGGACAGATTTTAAACACTCATAGTTAGCTGGATAATAGAGATTTCTAAAGAACCACCTCACTCTATTCTTTCTTTTGACTTTTCCATTAAAAGAAGACATCCTTCTTCAGTAAATACATACATACACACATCAGAATTAATGAGGAAATCATTTTCAGAGCATATCTTTGATTGAATTCTATCCATGGTAAATCTGTTTAAGAGTGGCTGAATCAGATTATCTATGCTTACTGTCATTTACAAGATTTCTTCATTAGACTGCATTTTATTTATTTAAAATCTATGCAAACACCATGAACGACATATTTAAACAATACCTTTATAACATGTTTTCCTCTCCAAAATCCACTTTTCTGAACCTATTTTTAATCAATACATTATTTTACAAAATGACGCTAACAAATTTTAGTCCCCCCAAAAAAACTCAAAACTTCATGTTAGAATTTCAGGAAATGGGCTTTTACAAACAAAGAAAAAACATACAAAGACCATTTGAAAATTCTGTAAAAAGAAAGAAAGGGGGGTGTAGTGGAATCTACCTTTCAGTCGACAAGGCCGAAGCCTGCGAGACAGTAGTTGTCACCAGGAAGACAGGCAGAAAGCAGGGGGGAGGAGTCGAGCCGATTCCTGATTGGTTGGAGCCACTAGGGGAGGAGTCGGTTGAGAGAGAAAAAGTGGCTGTCAGCTGGTGACAGGGAGAGAAGTGTCTTGACATCAGACAGGGAAAGAAGTGTTTTGACAAGGGAGAGAGAAGGAAGGGATTTTTAGTAGAGGAAGCTAGATAGAGCAGGGATCTGACAGAAAAGGAAGAGCTTTTAGTGAGTCTTAAGTTTAGGGAATAGGCTGAGACAAAGGCTAGGATTTTACTGTGTTGTGAGGGCCAGTAAAAGAAAGATTTGTCTCCTTATACTTGGGATAGTATAAGGGAGCTTATTGGCCCTGTGGTGGAGACAGATAGGAGTCTGTTCTCCAGTTGATACTGTTTCTAAGGATAGAGCAGTGTGTTTAAGGGAACTCACAATTTTAAAAGCTTTTCTGTCAGGGGAACTATCTGTTTAAGTAACCAAGTTTCTGCAACTGAATCACGCTTCTGTACCACTCATTTCTATGAGTTGTTGTTAATATAAAGTTCAATAAACCATTCTTAGTTTACCTTTAACTGGTGTATGCCTCAGTCTATTAATCGCCTCAGAACCAAGTCAATAAAAGAAGCCTTTTCAAAGTCCAGTCAGCCAGTGAAGAAGTCGCAGAAGAGCCAAGGGCAAATACACCTTACCTACAGCGCATTCACACCTTTTGGTTCCTCAGGCCAATAATACTGAGGTGGTGGCAGTCATACTTACCAGCAACATCGGTCACTTGTATATATAACATAAGCTCAGCCCCTAAATTGTATTACACAGGCTTTAATAGGTGTTTAGCTTTGCGGCTGGATAAAGAATGAGCTTCTTTTGGTCTATAGTTTATTTATTTATTTATTTACAGTATTTATATTCTGCTCTTCTCACCACGCAGGGGACTCAGGGTGGATTACAGTGTACATACACATGGCAAACATTCAATGCCATAGGCACACAGCATATATAGACAAACACAAAGGCAATTTAAGCTTCATGAGGGTATGCTCAAATTCCAGCCACTGGGGGAGCTGTCGCTTCATGGTCCACTTGTTACACCGAGTCCTTGATGGAGTACTTCCTCATTCTTTCACCCGCTGCTGGAAGTTTTTATGGCATTGTAAATTAGTTAAATTAGCTTCCCATATAAGCGGTAAATTTCCTACTTGACAGATGCAACTGTCTTTTGGGCTGCAAAGGTTGACAGCAAGCTAGACAAATGGTCGGGAGCTTACTCCAACCCGGGCTGGCTTCAAACTCATGACCTTTCGGTCAGTGGTGATTTAATGCAGTTGACTCCTAGCCAACTGCATTTTGATGACAGAAAACTTCTTTCTGCTGAGACATTCTCTTCCTTTTATGTCTGCCTCACAATTTGAACAGGGGAGACTTCAGCATGGATGCAACTTGAAAACCAGGAACTGAAACCTGGAACTGAAACCCAGTTCAGATCGAGTCCCATCTAACACTAAAGAGTTATAGACTTTTCCTCTCTACAGTTTATTTTCACTGGTTAGCATCTCTCCTTCCCTTTCATGTTGTTGTTGTGTGCCTCTAAGTCATTTCCAACTTATCTTGACCTTAAGGCAATGATTCCCAACCTGAAGGGACGGACTGCAGACCATGTGATCTATGACTATTTAGACTCCGATTCCATTTTAGAAACAGTATGCTTTTATAAGTCAGTCGAAACAGAATGCTTGATACTCCATTAGACTCTCAGAACAGAGAGATGCTTTAGACTTTGGACTGTTGATTATAAGAAAGATGCCCTGTGTTATCTGCCCAGAGAAACTACTTCAAATCTATTTGTAACTGGATTGATATGCAAAGTACCTGTATGCTGAACACATGAAGTTTTTGTGAATAAACCAACTATGTTACTTATTTTTGTCTCTTTTGTGCATTGGCATATCTTCGTACTTAATAGTTCAAAGGGATGCCTAGGCGTATCAGTCTAACAGCTGAGAAACCTAATTGCTTTGCATGAATACTAGTGGATATTTACCACTAAGGAGAAGGTTGACACAAGTGAGTTTTTCACTCTTCTCAGAAAGATCATACTTTACAAAAGGTTATGATCTCTAACAAGGTCGTGCCTTTCCAAAAGATTCCTGGTTTTCCTAAATGGATGCCATTTTTCAAAATTAATCACGATTCTGCCAGCAGTTAGCCCTATGAGCCTGCCGGTTCCTTGTGTTACTCTTTTCTTCCAAATTCCTTTTGTCCTAATCCACAGATGCAATAAATCAGCCCTTGCAAGTGGTGCACATTGCAAGTGGGCCATTGCCTCAGCACTGTAAGAGGGTTTCATGAGACTAGTTGCTCTCATTGCAACAGTTTAGTAATGGTGAGGCCGCAGACCATATTTTAGTTCTTGGGGATCATGGAGGGGAAAGGCTGACTACCCATGAAAAGCACCATGGCAAGTCTCCTAACTGCTGCTTCTTCTCCTCCTCCCTCCCCCTGAGCGGAGCCATTGCATGTGGCACTGGAAGTGGAGGTGTCTTGGTGTCTTTGTTTTTAGGCCTGTTTCTGGGGTTATTTGGGGTACCGATTCAGAAAATTGCATTGGATAGACCACATTAGCTCTAGATGATTAAATGTGGTTTTCTGTGGGCAAGCAGGTCATGACTACCGGATGGCATATGTTCTGTATCAGAAACTAGAGCTGCTGTGGTCTATCCAATAGGCTTGGTTGATCAAAAAAATGGTTCAAAACCTGTTTTGGATGTAGTGGGCACTGGTGGTTCAATTCTAAAGTTACTTCCAAATTTTTCCAAAAAAAAGCCAGAACTTTTTGAAAATTCTGAATTGATTCGTTAATGGCGGGTGCGATTGCACAATATGTGGAAAACAGCACTGGCACTGGAGAATTAGCCATGACTCAGTGCCATGACCTTTAATTGCCATGACTCAGTGCTATGGAATTGTGCTGTAGTTTGGAGGCACCAGCACTCTTGGCAGAGGCTTGTAGAACTATAACTCCTGTGATTCCAAAGCACTGAGCAATGCCAGTTAAAATGGTGTCAACCTGCAATGATTCTACACTGTAGATGCATTCTGAAAATTGTTCCCAGTTTGCCTAGCCAGGCTCAGGGTCCTTCTACACAGCCCTATATATATCCCAGAATATCAAGGCAGAAAATCCCACAATATTTGCTTTGAACTGGTTTATCTGCATCCATATTCTGATAATGTGGGATTTTCTGTCTTGGTATTCTGGAATATAGGGCTGTGTGGAAGGGCCGTCAGCTCATTCCTTGCTTTAGTTTTTCTTATGCTGTTCCTGCAACTTTAGGCTACCTATATATATGTACTCTTCCTTGATGATTTGTCCTTCCTTCTGTTCTTTTTTATTCCCACTTTCTCCTTGAATTTGATGCCCAGCCACAAGGCTTTTAGCTTCAGCTAAGATTATTAGGGGATGGCATTTTCAAATCAAATTTTGCCATAGTTACTGCTGCATGTTTTTATGTTGAATGTTTTTATGTTAAATGTTTTATGTTAAATGTTTTTATATTGAATGTTTTATATTGTGTATAAGCTATTTTAAATTGTAAGTCGCTCGGAGCACCTTGGTGGAGAGCGACTAATTAAGAAATAAAGTGATGATGATGATGAAGATGATGATGTCTACTAAAGGGCCTTCCACACAGCCCTATATCCCAGAATATCAAGGCAGAAAATCCCACAATATCTGCTCTGAACTGGATTATCTGAGTCCACACTCAGATAATGTGGGATTTTCTGCCTTGATATTCTGGGATATAGGGCTGTGTGCAAGAGCCCCAAGAGAATATTAGGAAGAACTTCCTGGCTGTGAGAACTGTTCAGCAGTGGAACTCTCTGCCCCGGAGTGTGGTGGGGGCTCCTTCTTTGGAGGCTTTGAAACAGAGGCTGGATGGCCATCTGTCAGGGAGTGCTTTGAACGCCATTTTCCTGCTTCTTGGCAGGCGGTTGGACTGCATGGCCCATGAGGTCTCTTCCAACTCTATGATTCTATGAAGAGCTCTCTATCTTTCTGTCTGCTTTCCTTTTGTCCTTCTGATGGCAGGTGAAGATATTTTTGTGCAGATAGGCCTTTGAGATTTAAATTATGAAACAGCAGTCTGTGCAGAGTGGTGTGACATGTTTATGAACTTTTATTAGTAATTATACAGTATATTGAATTAGTTTTCAGGAGCATTTTAACAATACTATTCAACTTGCAAAACCAAACGTTAATATCTTGTTTGCAATTATATTAAAACAGTGCAACTGTTACAAGTATAAGTATACACACATCATTCTCTTTATTGCAAAAGAGCAGTTATATTTATTCCTCTTTTGGTTCCTTTTTTTCAAACCTAGTGGAGGGCCCTGTGTCTTTAAAAACATAATGAGGCAAGAATTTAAAGAAGCAGAAGAAAAGAACCTGTAACCAAAAGGGTCTCTTAACCTCTTCTTCTTTGCATTTTTTGCAGAGAAAAGATTCTAGTCCTCAAGATCAAGAAATGGAAGCTCTTCCCCCTGCTTTTGGTTTGGGCCCCAAGGTGCTCCAGAGAAAGCCTTGGAGAGTCCTTTGATGGGACTGTGGATGAAGGCTGGTTCTCCCCAACAATTAGCACATCAAGCTTCCATTCTCGGGTATGTAGAAAAAGGGTCGGATTTCTTCACCAGAGAATGATATTGAAGTAAAAGCATAGATTAAATCATTAACACTGTCATCAAAAAATTCCACCTGACCCGCTTCATAATTCAGGACCACACGTAACTTACGGATATTCCTTATTAAATAAAAAGAGTCTACTTCAGGGAAAATGCAAACTTCAGAATCATAGTTGTTATTTAGTTTTACCCCTACAGCCCAGATTGAGTCGTCTGTGTCTGGGTTAATATTTTCCTTCTTTCTGACAGAATCTCTTGCGATCCCAACAGCCCACTGTTCTGAGGAAACTTCTACTTGCCAACAATGTCTTCCGGAAGTGAATCTCTCACGGCCCAACACAAAGGCCTCCTGGCAAAACATATCCACACATCCTAACATTCTCACATTCTTCAGGTCCTCAGACAGAATAAGCCTGGAACATGCTGTCTCTGGGTCCAGAGTCACATTCACTACAAAGGAAAAAGGAATGATAAATATTTATTTTATTTATTTACAGCATTTACATTCTGTCCTTCTCTTTTTAAAAATAAAAATAATAAAAAATATTCCGCCCTTCTCATCCCGCAGGGGACTCAGGGCGGATCACAATGCACACAGACATGGCAAACATTCAATGCCATACACACACAACATATACAGACAGAGATACATGGGCTATTTAACTTTCCAGCTTCATGAGGGTATGCTTTTTGAATTCCAGCCACCGGGGAGCTGTCGCTTCACCATCCACTTGTGACACCGATGGAGTATTTCCTCAATCTTTTGCAGCTGCTGGAGAGATTTTTTATGGCATCGTAAATTAGTTAAATTAGCGCCTCCCCACATAAGCGCAGCTGTCTTTCAGGCCGTAAAGGCCGACTGCAAGCTAGACAAATGGCCAGAAGCTCACTCCAACCTGGGCTGGCTTCAAACTCATGACCTCTTGATCAGTAGTGATTTTAATGCAGCTGATTCCCAACCAGTTGCACCACAACCTGGTCCACCTACCACATTCATTGGTTTCCCTCTCATAAGTGTGGATGATTCATGGATTAGCTGAATATAGTCAGTCTTGGAATCCATAGGTCCCCTTGTGCTATTATTTGGCTTACCTACAGCAGAAGTGTAACACAGAATTGTGCTGAAGGACCTAGAGATTCCTAAAAATAACATTTATTTAGGAATCTATACATCCTCCAGTGTGATTCTATGGCCCACTTCCAACAGAAGTAGACCCACATTTGCAGTGGAGGACCCATAGATCCCTATGTGAAAGAAGTAGAATTTGTAAGCTTTGCTCTTATTCATATTTGCCCCTTTTCACAAGTGTCTTGCACTCCTAACTCTCATGAAAGCAGAGGGCTGACAGTATAAGATAAGGCTGTATATGAATTCCTACAGGGTCCAACCATGGACCTTTCTAGCCCAGCATTATAGGAGAATGCTGTGGGGAACCCAGAGGCAGGACATGGGTGCAACAATAGATACTTCTGTGGTAAAAGATCCATTCCCTCCTTGCCATTCAACAATTTGACATTTAATTTCTTTACAAGTCACCCCTAAACCAAGGCCATTTGTGACCATATAAAAATGCAGCACTTTTATGATCCCTAAGGAATAACACTGTTCCCATGCTTCTAGTGTTCAAATACAGTTGGACCTCCACATTTGAGAATTTCAATTTTGCAGATTTGATTAATATGTTCTCTAGGAATCTCTGGCGCCAAACTACATTCATTCTAAAGTGTAATAGAACTGACATTCCATTTTCAAACTGCTCTGCATACTTTATGTCTGCTCCAAGTACATTGTTACTTGCTTCTACTTAGGCATGTAATGGATGAAGGAAAAGGCAATTTCGAATTACACATTTCACCTCCACATCACACAAACTCTCATCTGTAGGCCAGACCTCCTCCACCCTTATTTTTATTATTATTAACTTTATTTGTACCCCGCTAGCATCTCCCGAAGGACTCGATGCGGCTTACATAGGCCAAGGCCTCAAAACACAACACAACAATACAACACCTAAAGCAAATTAAAAACAGTTAAAGCAATATTAACAACAAGCAATAAACAATACATCAAGACACTATAAAACTGGGCTGGGCCAGAGTAATGGGTACAAGATTAAAAGTGCTGATGTGACAGGTGATATGTAAGGATTATAGGGTAAGTGCAGGTGCAGTGTGCAGCAATCTTAGTTCTACTAAAGTGCTTCTGGGACTTGTTATTGGAGATTCCTAATCTGGGAAGGCACATCGGAACAGCCAGGTCTTCAAGTTCTTTCTGAAGACTGCCAATGTAGGGGCCTGTCTAAGATCTTTGGGGAGGGTGTTCCAGAGTCGGGGGGCCACCACAGAAAAGGCCCTGTCTCGCGTCCCCACCAAACGCGCCTGCAACGCAGGCGGAATCACGAGCAGGGCCTCTCCGGATGAACGAAGTGAACGCGTGGGTTCATAAACGGAGATGCGGTCACGCAGGTAGGATGGTCCCAAACCGTTTAGGGCTTTGTAGGTAAGCACCTGCACCTTAAATTGGGCTCGGAAAATAAACGGCAGCCAGTGGAGCTCCTTGAACAGGAGGGTTGACCTCTCTCTGTAAGGAGCACCAGTTAACATCTTGTGCCCTGAAAAACTGGACAAAGCACTGAAGGCTTTTCTTTAGCCATGTCCAAGAGAGACTGTCATTACTTTCCCAGATCATTCCTCTGTGCCTGCTCCAAATTTAGAACTCCTTTCTCAGATGGATCATCTACACTAGTGATTCCCAAAATCTGGTCCATATTTTCAGCTTCAATCCCAGAAGCCTCAGCTGTTTTGGCCATTGATCATTGATCCTGGGAGTTGAAGCCCAAAATACATGGAAGACCAGAGTTTGGGCAACACTGATTGAGGTTTGAAACCACTTTAACTAACATGGCTAAATGATATGGAATCATGGGAATTGTGGTTTTACATGTTTTTTTCTGCAAAAGTGCTGGTAATTCATCAAACTACAACTTCCATGATTCCATAGCCTTGTGCCATGGCGGTGGTGTCAAGGTGCATTAATTCTACAGTACAGATGCACCTAGAGAGGCTAGATAAGCATTGACCTTACTGTCTTTCTGCAAGTAGAATCTTTTTTATTCTAGAAGCCCTTTGAAAATTTAATAGAAGGGGAAGTGGACCATTTATAATGTGCTGGACTTTTATTTGTTGTTACTATTTGTACTAATATAGGTTTTAAACTGGTTTAATCTTTGTTGCTAATTTAACTGTGCTTGTGGCTAATTTAGTTGAGTTTCAAATAAGGGAAAGGAACTATTATTTGTATTGCTGTTATTATTGCAGGTACTTACCTCTGTTTGGGGCTTTGCTGAGCAAATCTGTTAGGAGGGAAAGGTGATAATTATAATTTGATAATTTGACCAATTTACTAATACAATGAGAAAAACATTTTGAAAACACATACAATGCTTTTTTTAAACTCCTAAAAGCAATCTAGGGACAGCTCGAACATGATCCTCTGTTAGTACCCTCCCTGGTTGTTCTGTAATCTGTCTGAGTCCCCTCGGGGAGACAGAATGGAATATAAGTAAAGTATATTATTATTAAAATATATTACCCTTCACTCTCATAAATGTGGAGGACTGACTGATACCTGTCTCCTATATTCCTTCCTAATTGTACACTTTACGTCAGTCTGCTCCTTCTTTGGGTTTTTTTTTTTTACTTTTTGTAAGGCACCTTGAGGTTTCTACTGGAAAAGAAACAGAAAACTTCTTTAGACCTCAGGTATAACATTAAGTCATTTAATTATAAAACCTTTATGTATTAAGCTCAGCATTATAACCAGGATTATCGTGATTATAATTTCCATAATTCGCCTTCCAGGATTAGCAGACACACCTCTCCAACGTCTTAATTCAGGCAAGTTCTCTTCCTGTCTTAGTGCATTACCTGTGTTGATGGTTTGCTCCCAAACAGCCTTGATCAGAGTTTCCTCCAGATTTTCTATTACACAGAGAAGAGAAGAAAGGAAACAATGACTGCAGTCATTTTCTGGACACAAACAAACTTTCAGACCTGACACAAAATTCCTCTTATAAATTCAGACCAAATTATTCATAATCAAATAATTAAAAAATCAAAACATTATAAAAACAGTTAAAGAATGAAACAAAATTGTGAACTACATCATTTAAAAACATTTCCTTTTAACTAGCAAAGGGAGAGATAGGAGTATTGAATATTTATACTCCACATTTTTTTCATAAAAGAAATACCCATGTGGTATACATTGACCTTATTTGAGGTGTATGCATCATCACAGTTTCTACTGCTTCACACTGATAGTTTTCTATTTATAGTGTTACTAGCGTGGGGCCCCGCGGTGCCCAGGTTATTTGAAAAAGGCATCGTTTTTCTAAGTTTGATAATGTCTAACACTATTTATTAGAAAAAAGGCAGTCTGTCCTTTTATTTGTTATAAATGCACCCATTAGAAAATGCAAAAGGAAGTGGGTGAACTACAATTCCCAAACCCTGCCATTATTCAAAGTTAGCCATGTTGGGTCTGTATGCCAAGTTTGGTCCAAATCCGCCATCAGCTGGGTTCAGTTTTTTCTGGGTGCAGGTGTACTACAACTCCCAGATTCCCAGGGCAATTACCCCCAAATCCAGCCAGTATTCACAGTTGTCCATGGTGGGTCTGTGTGGCAAGTTTGGTCCAAGCCCGTCATTCATGGGGGTCACAGGGGTCTGTGGAAGTGGGTGAAGGTATTGCTAATCCCATAATATATCCTCCCCTAACCCTCACCAGGACATAAGAGTGCATCATAGGGAGTCTGTGCGCCAAATGTGGTCCAGGTGCATCATTTGTAGTGGTTTCTGGAAGTGAATGACAATACTGCAAATCCCATCATCCCTGGTCCATCCTCCCCCAACCCTCACCAGGACATAAAAGTGTGACATGAAGAGCCTATATGGCAAGTTTGGTCCAGGTTCGTCATGCGTGGGAGTCACAATGGTCTGCAGGAGCTGAATTGGGAGAAGATATGGCAAATTCCATAATCCGTGGTCTGTTTTCCTCCAAACTTTATCAGGACATATAGTGGGTCATGGAGGGGGGGGGGGGGGGTCTGTATGCCAAGTGTGGTCCTGATCTGTCATGTTTGGTGGTCACAGTGGTCTCTGGAAGTCAGTGAAGATGCTGCGAGTCCCATCATCTGTGGCAAGTTTGGTCCAGATCCATAGTTGGTTGGGTTCACAGTGCTCTCTGGATATAGGTGAACTACAACTCCTATAAATCAAGATGAATTCCCCCAAACCTAGTCATGGGGGTTCTATGTGCGAAATGTGGTCCAGGTCCATTACCAAAGGAGGTCACAGTGCTCTGCCTTGATGCAGGGTGAACTACAATTTCCATCCTGTTGAGTCAGTCCCCCCCTCCAGTCTGTTCAGTTGCTGATCAATTCCTCTGTGTTTGCTGTGTGCCATAGGAAAGGGAAGGAAAGGGGGGAGAGGCAGTGGGTAGGGTCATGTAAATCCTACACAAGGAACCCTGGGATGCCTGCCTGTGGTGGAGGAAACACATAAAATCTTGGATGAAACATTCCACAAAAAAGTTTTCCTTGGGTATAGAATCATAGAATCAAAGAGTTGGAAGAGACCTCATAATGGGCCATCCACTCCAACCCCCTGCCAAGGAGCAGGAATATTGCATTCAAATCACCCCTGACAGATGGGCATCCAGCCTCTGTTTAAAAGCTTCCAAAGAAGAGCCTCCACCACACTCCGGGGCAGAGAGTTCCACTGCTGAACGGCTCTCACAGTCAGGAAGTTCTTCCTCATGTTCAGATGGAATCTCCTTTCTTGTAGTTTGAAGCCATTGTTCCATGTCCTAGTCTCCAAGGAAGCAGAAGGTGCTTGGTATTTGGGGAGGACATTGGCAGCGTTTGGGCTACATGTTCATGGCGCTCAGTGTCAGTGGAGGGAGTGCCTTTGGAAGCTTCTCAGGACTTGGAACTACAGTGTTCCCTTGCTACTTCGCGGTTTGCTTATTGCGGACTCGCCATTTCACAGATTTAAAAAAATTAATTTAAAATATATATCATGGTATTTTTGCTGTTTTTGTGGGGTTTTGCCACTGCTGCGCTCTCCGAGGCGCTTTCCCTCCTCAGTCCTCCCTCCCTCCAGCCTTGAAGGGCCTTTCCTTCCTTTCCTTCACTTTATTTTAAACGAAAAAACTAGCAAACTATATATATATAAATGCTCTGTGCATAATGAGTACCTTAAAAACAAAAGAACCAATGAACGAAATCACACCAAATTTGGCAACAAAACGTCTCACAACACAAGGAGTGACCATCACTCAAAAAATTATGCTTTTGTCATTTGGGAGTTGTAGTTGCTGGGATTTATAGTTCACCTACAATCAAAGAGCATTCTGAACTCCATCAACATTGGAATTGAACCAAACTTGGCACACAGAACTCCCATGACCGACTCAGCGCGGCCTCACATGAGCATCAGAGGATGCTAACAACATAAATACCATAAAAACTACAACTTACAATAAAATCATTTTAAAACATTGTACATCATCAATAAAATTTAACAATAAATTAGTAGATTAACGTGCCAGTATGGAATTGAACCAAACTTGGCACACAGAACTCCCATGACCAACAGAAAATACTGGAAGGGTTTGGTGGGCATTGACCTTGAGTTTGGGAGTTGTAGTTCACCTACATCCAGAGAGCACTGTGGACTCAAACAATGATGGATCTGAACCAAACTTGGCACAAGCACTCAATACGCCCAAATATGAACACAGATGGAGTTTGGGGGAAATAGACCTTGACATTTGGGAGTTGTAGTCACTGGGATTCACAGTTCACCTACAATCAAAGAGCATTCTGAACCCCACGAACGACAGAATCGGGCAAACTTCCCATACAGAATCCCCATGATCAACAGAAAATACTTAAGGCCATCCAGTCCAACTCCCTTCACCGGGGCAAGGAAATGTAATCAAAGCCCTCCTGACAAAGAGCCATCCAGCCATAGATATAGATAGATATATAGGATTCACATGATAGATAGATATGATTCACACACAGATATAGTATCATAGATTTGAAAGGGACCCTTAAAGAAGGACAATGATATGTTGCATATTCCAGAGTAGGCAAACCAGACACTCTCCACCTCAACACTGACAAAGAAACAGCAAGAAATACTGTTTACCCACAAGCATAAAGAAATTACATATATTAGAAACTTTCTCATTACTTTATTTTCCAGATCACCAGACTGGGCCACAGCAACGAATGGCAGGGCGCCGCTAGTAATGTATAAATATTAAAATAAATAGAGTATCCCTACATCACGGTTTTTCACTTGTTGCGGGAGGTCCTGGAACCTAACCCCAGCAATAAGTGAAGGAACATTGTATAGCCTGTTTTTGGAGCCCAGAAGCTGTCTGTGTAAGTGGACACCTCTGCCACATACACATAGACACACATTTTCACTTTTATTATGTGGCTAGATAGATAGATAGATAGATAGATAGATAGATAGATAGATAGATAGATAGCCTACTCAAGTTCCACAAGATCCAGAATGGAACATCAAAATCATGCTGCAGAGAATTATTATTATTATTAGTAGTAGTAGTAGTAGGCTTCTTAAAAAATACACAACTGAAACCATTCAAAGAATTTAAAAACCTGTCCAAAAATATAATACACAGCATGCCCTGACTCAATCTTAAAAACTTTCTTTGTTACATTTGGAGAAATTACACCATTCTTAGTACCTTTGTAGGACTCTGTGGCCTTTTGTAAAGCAGAGATCTCCTGAGAGGTAACTTTGAGTCTCTCGGTCAAATCTGGAGAAACATCTGGCACATATCCTCCTAAATTCTTCTCACATCTGGAAGTGAACATGGTCAAGTTTAAGGAAAATTAACTGAACGTCAGTTTCCATCAATCTTCTGGCAATACTGGATGTTAGACAAGGGTAAATTCTGGAATGATGCCCCAATCTGCCATTTCACAGCTTGAGGCCTCTTGAATAAAGATCTTGTTTATTTATTTCAAATGTTAGTTGCCCATCTATTGCTTAGCTTTCATGGTGACTTACAAGAAAAATGAAAATAAACTCCAAAGCTCTTGTGGAAGTAGAAAAACTAGAATAGAAAAAAGAAATGAGAAACAGCAAGCAACTTAAGAGATAAAGGAAGTAGGTATCACCTGAAGACCTTAAAATACTCAAGAAAAAAAATGGCTAAAATGCACCATAGCAGCAAAAATATAAGTATTCCTGAGCAAATAAACAAGTTTTTCCCTGGCATCAAAAAGATAAGAAAGGAATGAGACAGATTTTATCAATTTCTGCTCATTTTAAGAAAAAAAGGTAAAGTTTTCCCTGACATTAAGTCCAGTCATGTCCGACTCCGGGGGTTGGTGCTCATGTCCATTTCTAAGCCAAAGAGCTGGCGTTGTCCATAGACACTTCCAAGGCCATGTGGCCAGCATGACTGCACGGAGCGCCGTTACCTTCCTGATGAAGCGGTACCTATTGTTCTACTCACATTTGCATATTAGGAGCTGGCATTGCCCCTCCCCCCCCCCCCCCCAAAATTCAAACACTGTTTCTATCAGCAAGTTCAGCAGCTCAGTGCCACTGGGGGCTCCACAAAAAAAAGCACATCTCAAATACTTGGTGTGGAAAAAGCAAAATTGACTGGCCATCTGTATTCTCCTATTTCACAGCAGGTTTTTGCTTCTGTTTGTTCGAACAGGATGAACATATAAGAAAAGACTGGGGGAAGGGCTTTCTGGTGCAGATTCAAGGTCGCATCTCACTGTGTAATTGTCACTTGAGGGCACATCCACACTGTAGAATTATTGCCATTTGATTCTGTATAAGGTAACCTTTATAAGACATAAAGAATGTGATTTCTAATGACAAATGCAACTGTCATCAAAATATAAAAAGTTCTTATCTTTTCCCAGAAAACTACGTAATATTATATTCAGACTGTGATGGGATATGTACCAGGGCCACACAAGACAACAAACTGAAAAGGGCCCAGGACAAAGAGCTAGGCTTCGATCTTCCATTGTTGGGGTGCCATCAGTGTTGGTAGCGACATAGCCAGTGTTTTTGCATAATTTAAACATGGAAAGCTTACATAAGAAATGGAAAGGCTAGTTTGTGTTTTGGGTGAGTCAGCAGATGGTGCACAGGTAAAAGATATGTAGTTAAAAACAACTGGACAGCATCAAGTTGGGAAATTCATTAGGCATGAAAAGTACGGAAGGAAACTTTCCAAATACACTCCAATGGGACTGAACTTCTCCCACTGAAATAGGTAAAATCAAAAGTGACTAGAGAAACAGTCATATCTCATACCTGATCAAGGAATTTTTTATGTCCTAAAAGGGAACAAGAGAATAATTAGGTCATTCACAGACTGAATAAACACAGTTTTGATCTCATCTGAGGATCTGTCTACATAAGCTCAAAACCCCACAGTTGGCGTGTTAAGTCAATCCTGGAGATCTTCGGAGCAAACCTGCATTTTGGGAACAACTTTGAGAGCAAGACTGAGTTGGATGCAAATTAATCCACAGTCCATTTTTTCTGCTGCCACCAATCAATTTCCTCGTGCTCATCCCTCTCTTTCTCCCTGGTTGTGTTAGCACAAGATGCTCATGGTAGTCAGCAAGAGAGTTTTGTGGCCATCTGGTGAGGGCAATAAGGTGACATTTTGGCCCAAATGAACCATGTAGACTCCAACCCATCACTGCTGCAGGTTGATACCATTTGCAACAGTGGTGTCAAACTTGTGGNCATCTGAATGGCCATAAGTTTGACACCTCTGAGTCTGAACCATTTCTGCTTTGGGCTGGCCTCACAATAAGCAGCAAGTGGAAATGAGCCCTTAGCTGGTTACTTGTTAGTTGGACAGTATATCACCTATATATTATCTTAAAATTTCTTTTAAATCATAGCAAAGTAAATTTGAAACCTTTTCTCCACATTGTGGAATTTAGCGATTAGTGCATGAAGAATAAATGGAGCCAGGAATTTACTTTGGCTTTGATTAAAATAAATATCCTATTTACTTATGTATAAGTCTAGACACTTTAGTTAAAATATAAACCCAAAAAGCTTGGCTCAACTTGTCTGTGGGTCATTGCGAATACTGTACTTTAACTCGTATATTAAAAGGACTATCTCCTTTTCTGAGTAGAAGGGAAAAGGGGGCAATTTACTCCATTCCTGGAGACACTAAAAGAGCTCCAATTCTCTTTATTCTCTCCACCATGGTGATGCTTCTGGTCTTTTTGAATACTGAACTGGGAAATGATGGTGGTGGCCAAGGGTGGATGATTTATCCGTGGTTCATATCAAGATCCGTAATTTTGGCACCAAAACTTGACCTCAATTTATACAGGAGCATATAAGGTATTCTTTTAACAAAAGAGAAAAGGGTTTCCAAGGGTTTATGTAATCTCAAATTAAGTTTGAAACCTTTTCTCCACATTGTGGAGTTTAGTGATAAGTACACGAAGAATAAATGGAGCTGTAAATTTATGCTGGCTTTAATTAAAATAAATATCCTATACCCATGTATAAGTCTACACATTTAGTCAAAACATCAACCCACAAAGTTTGCACTGATCCACGGTCAACTCCACTTGTTCATGGATCATTGCAAACAATGTACCTTAACTCATATTTAAAACGGTCCATCTCCTTTTCTGAGTAGAAGGGCAAAATGGGCCACCATATGCTGATTCTGGCCTTTTTGTACCTGAACTGGGAAATGATGGTGGCGGCCAATGGTGGTTGGCCCCTCGAGTTGGCAGTGGAGCTTTCCCCTCTGTTCAGAATGACCCTTGACTTATCAATGGTTCATGTTAAGATTGTGGCCCCAAAACCTGTCTTCGATATATACATGGGCATATAAGGTATTCCTTTCACTCCCTTCTTGGCTAAAGAGAAAAGATTTTCCAATGATTTATTTAATTTCGAGACCTAGAAGGAATCTGTGTTTGCTGATCAAACCTCACCTGCAGGAAGTTGCTGGCTGGCTGCAGACACTTCTCTTCCATCTCTGTGATCAGCAAACTGAGTTGGGAAATCTCTTCAGCGAGTTTGGCAAGGGTCTTGTCTTGTCTTTTCTCCATCTCTTTCTCCAGGTCTTCCAGCTGAGTTAAGCAGAAATGCTGTTTCTCTTCAAGAAATCTCTGCATTCCCTCAAAGAGAGATTTGATCTTCATCTTCTCAAGGTCTAACTGTGTCTGAGGAAAAATATATCCAGAGTAAAGGAAGGGCTGCAGTAGAAGGGTGCATCTAATAAAGTTTAACACTATTTTAAGTGCCATGGCTCAATACTATGAAATTTTGGGAGCTGCAGTTTCCATTTTAATGGACTGCTCAGAAAAGTCTGGACACAGCTAGGGTATTATTATTATTTTATTATTATTATTAACTTTATTTGTACCCCGCTAGCATCTCCTGAAGGACTCGATGCGGCTTACAAAGGTCAAGGCCTCAAACACAACATAACAATACAACACCTAAAGCAAATTAAAAACAATTAAAGCAATATTAAACAACAAGCAATAAACAATACATCAAGACACTATAAAACTGGGCCGGGCCAGAGTAATGGGTACAGGATTAAAAGTGCTGATGTGACAGGTGATATGTAAGGATTATAGGGTAAGTGCAGTGTGCAGTGTGCAGCAATCTTAGTTCTAATAAAGTGCTTCTGGGACTTGTTATTGGAGATTTCCTATTCTGGAAAGGCACATCGGAACAGCCAGGTCTTCAAGTTCTTTCTGAAGACTGCCAGTGTAGGGGCCAGTCTAAGATCTTTGGGGAGGGTGTTCCAGAGTCGGGGGGCCACCACAGAAAAGGCCCTGTCTCGTGTCCCCACCAAACGTGCCTGCGACGCAGGCGGAATCACAAGCAGGGCCTCTCCGGATGAACGAAGTGAGCGCGTGGATTCATAAACGGAGATGCGGTCACACAGGTAGGATGGTCCCAAACCGTTCAGGACTTTGTAGGTAAGCACCTGCACCTTAAATTGGGCTCGGAAAATAAACGGCAGCCAGTGGAGCTCCTTGAACAGGAGAGTTGACCTCTCTCTGTAAGGGGCCCCAGTTAACATCCTGGCTGCTGCTCGTTGGACTAGTTGGAATTTCCAATACTTTTTGAGTGCTACCTAGAGTAGGAAAACCAACCTTAATCTGTACAAGGTTCCACCTGAAACCTTCAAACATGGAACAATCAGCTTGCATGTTTGATAAAAACTTAAGCTGTAACAGAACCTCCTGAAGGATGTTAAATCTAAAAAAAGCATTCCTCATTGAAGGAGTTGATTAAGTGGCTGCCCCTTAATAAACACGGCCTCGCCACATCAGCCCCAAAAGCAACTGTCTACCTGACCGTCTTTCCTTCTTAGTTCTTGAACATATTGCTGGTCCTTAAACTCTTCCTTCTTCTTCCTTAGAGATTCCAGGAGGAGCTTGGTTTTTTCCTATAAAATAGAAAAAAAGGTTATGCTTTCTTATGAGCCCAGTCAGTGGAGTAAGTGGAGAACATGCAGCCAATTAATCAATGTGCAAAGGGTTCAGAGTGGTCCATCTGAATTATTAGTCATTTTTGAATGAAGAGCATGGGACCTAGGTTGGCCCTAAGCATAAACATATCATATTTGTGG